GAGATAGAGAGAGAGAGAACGAAAGCTTGATAAAGCGACGAAGGTCGCGACGTACGGCTGACGAAGCCCTGACGAATCCCTTCCTCGACGATTGATTGCGATCGTGCGGTGATGCCGTTCGTTCGGCGTCAAAGTGTTGTATGCAAGGAGGATTGAGGAGAGGCTGTTTAAACAAATCAAATTCTTATAATAGATTGTTAAGATATACACAACATACACACCACATACCATACACACACCACTAACACAGACTACATCGTCATACATACAACATATACGTATGTACGTACATACATACATACATACATACATACATACATACATACATACATACATACATACATACATACATACATACATACATACATACATACATACATACATACATACATACATACATACATACATACATACATACATACATACATACATACATACATACATACATACATACATACATACATACGATACATACATACATACATACACATATATAACGCGAAAAGAAACGTAGGCGACAAACTAATTACTACGCGAAATATACGTGTTCTGTGATCGCATATATCTATATATATGTATACACACATACACATAAAAAAAGCGGAATATATATATATGTATATATATATAGATACATATATACGCATATTTACGATTAACTCGGCGAAGGGAGGGAGAGCGAGAGGAAGAGAGTGTGCGTGGCGAGTGCGCGTATGAAGTGCACACGTAACCGGAAGTTTGACGATTCTACGTGTAGCGTTTGTAATTACAATATCTCTTTATTATGTAACTGCGTATGTATGCGTGCGTGTTTGCGGACGCGTTTCAGATAATCAGTTTATTTGCATGCGGTTGAAGGACGTGATAATCGGTATTTTGGAATGTGATTTGTTCTCCATGAACGATCCTTTGATCTCGATTCAATGTCCGATCGATGTAAAGCGAGCAGAGACCCATGCCAGATACTGAAACTGGTGCAATTTCGGTAAATTATTATAATTTAAGTTTCGAGGGACGTAATAAAAATTTTTATTTATTACCTATGTTATACACATAGAATATAAAATTTTTATTTAATACATAAAAATGAAGCAAATTCTCTTTTTTTTTTTATTCATTATAAATATTAAAGTTCCATTGTGTCGTAATCTAAAACCTTATGGAGATTTTACTATATTTTTATGATTTAATCGCTTATCTCGAATAAATGTAGAGATCATTCTTATCTCCGCACTTGCCGAGATTACATCGGTTCAGGTCCTTGGTCGTACTCATCTAGTCTACTGAAAAGCGATACCGAATAATATTTCTCACTCCGGTGGTGGATCTGTTCTGATAATGCAAAGTCGCATTCCAAAATACGATTCCACGCACCAACACGTATGCACGCAGGAGCACGTATGGATCGTCTGAACGATCTGGAACCAAATGGCTAGTAACAGCGAAACTTTTTGACCAACAGAGCGATGCGTTTCCCTTTTTCCTTAGGCGACGTCTCTACATATCACACCAAGAATTTAAAGTAGAAAAAAGAAATGTTTGCGTCGCTTACAGCTCGTCTCGCCATGAATGGAGTATTCGAGTTGACAGAAATCAGATCAATAATTTTTTTGGCGATGAAACTTTTTCTCTCTTTGCTTTGTGTAATGTGTCTTGCTGTTGTTTGCGAGTAACAATACAAGGATTGCATGATGTGTGATCCGATATGATGAACATTTGCAGCTCGTTGCGCTAATGACAGTATTTTTATATTTCTCTCTCTTTCTCTCTTCTTTTTTTTTTAAATTATTTTATTCTAGGTTTTATTTCGAAATCTTTTTTCTCTCTTTTATTTCTGTTTATCTATGTATCTATGTCTCTTTATCTTTTGTTCTTTCAACGATTTAAAATCTTGTTCGCAATTAATAGCTTAAATAACTTTAGGTAGTGTTTCTCATTTTGTAGTAAAGATGCACATTGCTGTCATATTATCAAAATTAATCAACAAATTTATGATGCATCATTTTTAAACTCACTGTGTGAGAGCCCATAAAGTTAAAACCAAAGAAATATGCAAAAAACATTACTCGAGTTTTACTAGTACGGTATCTAAATTATGTAATGTGTCAATATGATTAGAAAAAAAAACATTCTACTGTACACTAATTATAAATATTTGACATATTTTACTCGCGGATATTTTATATTTGATTCCATATGTTCGAATGTTTACGGAACAAAATTTTTCGCAAATTTAGTTTGTAAGTATCATGTTTTCCGGCATTCACAATGATTTTACGTAATTCTGATCCTTTTTTATTCTGTATTAAGCGAACATTGATATAGATTTCGATGCATATGTATTTTCGACACATCATGTAATCACCAATCAGTGAATGTCCGTTAATTACTGTAATACTTATTCTTTTACGTGTTTTAGGACAATCACGATACTCTCAAAAATGAGTATATATTTGTCGCCGAAGATCATCTTGACATATCGATGCCTATATCAACTTTCTTTTTCCCGATTTTATATAAAAATAATGGTTTTTAATATATTTGATTATATAACAGAAAATTAGGTTTTATCTAAAATTTTACCTAACAGTAAGATTTTACTTCGAATCGTTTAACATTTAACATAATGTTACGTGCTTCCGCGAGTCCTACAAAATCATAGTTCCAGTTTCCTTCTGTCCTTTTTTTTAATCTCTATGTTCTCACTTTTTCATTTGCTTCTTTATTTATTTGGGTTATCATTTCATATTTTTTAAATGTTAATCTTTTGAGCTTTTATCTATCTTACTCATTTTGTCAGTTTTCGTTATCGTTCACACTGTTCATCTTACAATCAGCGAAAAAAAGTACGGTAAATTGGTCGATACAGTGAGAGCGATAACGAATTACAGCATGTATTCGTCATGATCGATTACATGGATTACATTGATCTCATAAATATAATAATTGCGACAGAAAGGGAGAAGGAAAGAGAGAGGGAGTGGAGGGAGAGGGGAGGAGAGAGAGAGAGAGAGAGAAGCAAAAATACGCGTGAATTTAGAGAGAAAGAGAATCGTCGCGCGCGCGCGCGTTGTAACGAGAAGGACATTGTAATGTTATGTCCTTTTTTGTTCTTTTCTCTTGAAAATTGAAAAGCGCGAGAGATTTTCTCATCGAAGTTGCACCTGAATGCCGTTGAGATGAGTCATCTCAGAGCGAAATTGTAATTTCGCGGTAATTCTAAGTAGCGCGATAGAGAGAGAAAATAGGAGAGACAGGCGAAGTGAGGAAGAAGATGCAGGAAGAATAAAGATTTTTACATAATAATGATTAAATAGGGAAAAGCAGTGTGCGATCAGACATTGAGCTGAAAAGCTCTCGAAAACCGGGATCTCTGATCTTCATGTAGCGAAACATAAAATTATCGCAAACGTCCACGAGATTCCTCAAAGATGCCTTTAACATGTCATCCTTATGATATCTCTAAACATTTAAAGGATTAGTTATTTAGATGTCTAGGCTTCGTGCTCCCTGTCTGATCGCGTTTCACTTTTCACCTAACTTTTGTTCATCGCTGTTTTTCTCTTGGATATGCGTGGCAGGGCGAGTTGAGATTTTGAATCGAGTTGACGATAAGGTGTGTAGTGAGAGTCCTGGAGGTGGACGAGCACAGAGAAAGAGAGGAACAGGAAATTGAGCGTGCGACGGAGCAAAATATTAAAAAAAAAATTAAAAAAAGAGGAACATATATGTGTGTATATATATATTCGTTGAATCGGCTCTAACTCGTCCAATTGTCTCGTGTAAATTCAAGCTCCCAAGGGGAAAGTAAGAGAGAGAGAGAGAGAGAGAGAGAGAGAGAGAGAGAGAGAGAGAGAGAGAGAGAGAGAGAGAGAGAGAGAGAGAGAGAGAGAGAGAGAGAGAGAGAGAGAGAGAGAGAGAGAGAGAGAAATGCACAAGCTGTGCATTGCCGAGAAAACAGTCCACCTCCGAAAAGTCACAAAAGAAGCATATTAAAATAGTACATGCCACCGTCGAGAATGATTGTGTGATAATTACAAGTGATTTGACTAGACCCTTTCCCCCTCTTTTGGACGATAATCTGATTGCTATCGCTGAAGGTGCTTTCTCAATTGCTCATCAATACCTTGGCAACTGAATCTATAGCATTGAAAGGGTAAGAACAATTCTTTCTCGTTTCACGCTCTAGATTCAGCCCTCGAGCTATCGAGACGCAACATAAAGAAGCACCCTTTGTAATAGTAATCCATCGATTTCACCGACGAGAAAGAGATTACGGGACAGAGTTGGATCAGAGGGAATTTTCTTGCTCGCGAAGCTCGCTATAACATCTCGGTCACGTTGATTCGATTAAGCAACGCGGTCGTAGCCTAATCTTATCATGGGCCAGCGCGAGCTCGCGACCTCTCTACGAGGTTTATTTGGATATTCTTCGCTTTGCATGTTCTTCGGTGATAAGCAGGTTGTCGGTTCTGTTGCGTATCGTATGCGTAAAACTCGAGCGATTACCGCCGTACGCGCGGCCCGGGGAAGGGGGTCGTATATGATGTGATTTCTTTTATATCATAACGAATAATGAACACTAAGAAATATTATAGTTTCATATAAGTGAGATATGTTATTTGTCATTTATTTTATCCCTTAATAAATGATGTTATATAAAAAAAAGTCAACACGGGCGTTCCTTCATTCGTATTCTCCACCTCGTCCTCCATCCAAGAGTCGCTGAAACGCAAACCATTCTTTAATGATATTAAAAGATTGACAATTTCCGTCGATGTCAATCAACCGACTGACTTTTAATCTTAGTCCAATCAATTTTAAATTAAACTAAAATTCAATCTCAAGGATTAAAATAAAATCGATTACATTATACTTTCATTTATTTTCACTATTTCTTAAAACAACAAATTGAGAGTATAATTTAAAAGGGATTGGAAAAGAGACAACGATGTTCCTCTCATCGTACATTTATTCGCCGACTATCAACATATTACAGCACACATTACATGACACCGAACGTCTAAGTTGTACTCGATTAGCTAATGATTACTCACTCTCAGCCACTTTTGCATAAAATAGTTCCATTACGAATCTGATTGTTGCTTTCTTTGATATTTACAGAATATTTTGCGTATACCTTACAATTTAGGCAGCCTCTCATAAAAAGTGAACGCATTTACAGAGCGTGTTCAAACATTGTTTTGTGGTTCATGGATTGAACCTTAAAACTCACGTGAGAGTAGCATAAACGTGCTCGAAGTTAAAGATATCGATGATCGTTATCGTAGATAAATCGGATGACCTAATTCTTCGTAGAACGGAAGGATTCTTCGTCTGTCGTTCAACGTATTACTCTCTTAATCGAACTGATGTCAGTTAAATTAGAATTGGGATGTGAGAGTGCTGTGAATTCTTATCTCGCGGTGATCATTCCGCGACAATTGAACACTCCTGATAAGAATTCCTAGATGAAGATAAAAGATCTCAGGGAAAGCTATTTCATTAAATAAACTTTACCTTCTTTCTAGAAAGAACAGAGCAGAAGAGGAATATAAAAAAAGATATTCTTCGTCATTTTGTACATTGTAAATTTTTTCATAAGTTGCACTTACATATTCGTATAGAATCTCGGCATGTAATAATTTCGATATAATTTAATAAGTGAATTAATTTAATAAAATTAAATTTTTGGAGGAGACAAAAATGGTCCATTTACATAAAGTGTTCACTTATGATACATTAAAAGATCATTATGAAATAGCATAACTTAATTTCTTAAGTACTTAATTGGTCGATATCTTGATAATATCGATCTTAATCGCATCATATCGAAGAAAATTTTCTTTGGTAAGGCCGAGAATTAATATGCATGCGAGCTGGTCGTAACTTTTTAATTTAAGATTTTTCTTCGGTATTCCTGTTAAATCACGCTACCTCAACGTATTTGAATACTTCCTAAAGTGGCGAATAAAGCGGCGTACGCTTTGCCTCAGTACGATTATACTGTCCTGTGGATTGATTAATCATACAAAACTCGCGGCTACGAGAAAAACCACTTTAGAACCACGTTGTACCACTTTAGCAATTAAGTCAGTATATAGCGCGTCGATATCTCGACGGATTTATCAAATGTGCGGAAAAGCGGCGCACGCGTTGCTTTATAAATACGTTTAAGCTCTTTCTTCGTAATCGCGAACGTCGAACGATGAAAATTTTTATTAATATTGTGCAAATTGTCTATATGCGCGGGTGAATTCCGACACTCTCGACGGAAATCTAACAACAGATCGATCGAAATTGCTTTTCGCGATACGCGATACGCTTTGTACTGATTCCTGGTTATAATTATAATGTTCTGGTTCGTCTTGCTAATAACGCCCCTCTAATTGCCTTCATAGTCGCGCGGTGGTGCGTGATGATGCATATGGATGTGTGGAGGCAATTCGACTACAGGTACGGCCAGGCTGCTTCTCTGTAATACAAACATGTTACATAATAGTTACACAGCAATTGCATACATAATACGTGAAATATGCTTATAGAAATCAGAAATGTGATATTATGGTCAAGTAATTTTTTAATGTTTTTATTGATATTTCGAATCTCAAACGACGATTCATTTTTTTAAGATCTTTTCTATATTTTATTTTATTACTTAACATAATATAATTTTTAACATATTTAATTTAATCTCTATTAATTGTCTATCGATGGTTTGAAATTTATGATTAATTTCAGCAGCTAATTGAATTAACCATTAAAGCATTATAATTAACAGGATTCAATTGGATTCCGTCGATCTTTTAATCACTTCAATAAAACCTTCTATCTTGGACTACCGAATTATTCGCAAGAAGGAATGAAGAGATAATAAATTTCGTGCCCATTCTGAAGGGAAATAAATCCGCTTGCCGGTTACACGTTAATTAAAGAACATTTAAATGCAATTATGAGTTTAATGAATGTGAGAATATAAAAAGTTTGGTGAATATGAAATAACTGAATAACGATATAGCAAAGAGAGAGATTTTTTTTTAAGAAATTACGATATATAAAGTCGATTGGGAATAAAAGTTAGAAATATCAACCTGATGAAAAGGCAATTAAAGAAACACACTTTCGACGATATTTATAATTCGATATTACATTTAAAATTGTTTTAAATCTAATATTCGGTTTTAATATGCCATATGTAAATGATCATCATTTTGAAATTCTAATTAAAATGATGCACATAAAATTGAACTATGAATACTTAAGCAATTCATTCATAATTATTATTTAAATTTCATCTCAAAAAGGTATTAAATATTGAAAATATTGCTTTAGAATCTGTACTGTTTTAATTCGAATTTTGACAATATCGATAGAGTTGTTCAATTTTTGAATAACTACTTTTAAATTTCTTAAATTTCTTTAAATGTTCCTTAGACAGTTTAGAAAAAATTTTATTTTATGAAATATTTATGTATGTATTTTTTGTGTCACACATCAATTAGAGAAACGAACTGTTTTATTTAATTTACATAAAAGATACGCGTCGGTTTGCAGATTAATGATAGTGCAACAATTAATGAGTGACCAGGCAGCTGTTACCTGGGATCTCATCCCATTTACGGGGGTGGCAGTGGGATTGTCCGGCGAATAGCCGATTACGTGCGTAGAACATTTGTCACAAGTACGCCGTCGTCGAGACGACGCGCGGCAACGTAAGGCGCGACAGAGCTCGCGTGCCATCTCCGAGCAGAGTGATTCTTGTTGATTCGGTTGTTGCTGCTGATGTTGCTGTTGGCATTGTTGTTGCTGCTGCTGTTGCTGCTGCTGCTGCTGCTGCTGCTGTTGTTGTTGCACAGCCTGAGAAATTCCCTGAAGAGAGCCGGAGATGGATGTCGGAGGGACCGGATGCCTTTGCTACATCAGCAACCCACAACGTTGAATTATTCGCACGTTAATGACTCGATTATTAAAGACAAGATTGAGAAGCAGACATTAAAATATATCATGTTGCGAGAGTGTTCTAGAATTAGCGAGAAGTGAATAATTAACGTTATTTCTAATGGAATGTTTTTGAACTATATAAAAATACTAGAAAGGATACAAAAGCTAATGATGTATTAATTATTATTATTTAATTTAAAATGTAGTGCATTTTAATAGAATGTAATTCTGTAATGGTAAATATAAAATTCTGAAACGTTGTCACTTCAAAATATTTAATATTAAAATTTATTAAAAATATTAATTCTCAATTACAGCAAGAATTAATTTTAAATTCCGCTAATATTAAGATGTCTGTTGTATCATGATGAGAAATTATTATTAACATTTCTGTGATGTATTATATAAATACAACATGTTAAAGAGCATAGGTTGTATCGAAGCAAATGAATTCGATAGGAATTCGATAGGCGAAACGGACCTTTTTTCGCAATTGTATTTGGGATGCTTGCAGTCGAGCGGCATGCTTCAATGGACGATGAGCTCATGCTGATACGTCGAAATCCATGATGTAGCGATGGAACAAAATTCAAAGAAACATCATGCAATGTTTATGGTTACATGCATATATCTTAAAGTTAATAATTTTAACGATAATAAATGTTAAAAGCGAGAAAAGAGATTGAGAATTAAACGCGGACGGTCGCTCTTGACAGGAATTTGGATTGCGATGTCGGCGAATACAGTCATGCAACGTGAACATGCTGACGATGTACTGATATCTATTTCAGCATTTTTGGAGTTGATGCACTCACCCGTTCCGCTGGTGCATTCTTCCTGGAATTGTAGCAGAACTCGAAAATCGCTATCAACACGGCGAATGCTAAGCCGCACAGTAAGACCACGAAAACTCCTCCTAAATAAACAACAAAGCCAGTTTTCGATATAAATGAATAAAACATCGATTAGTTATAAAAGAAAGAAAAATGAACGTTTTTTTCTATTAGAGAATAAACTAAATAAAGCAAATTAAAAACAATTTCTAAAATATATCAATCAAATATTTGAATAATTTAAATAATCGTAAAATTCTACTGAAAAATACACATTCAAGTTTACATCGAGTACATTCGTTTTTTCATTTTCTAATTTCGATCGAAAAGCGCTATAGGTTTTATAAGAGAAAGTTAGATCTTTTCTAAAAGAATAAGATAGCAAAGATAATAGAGAATATTTGCAACTAAGAAGGAATATAAGAAGATAAAGGAATATAAGAATATAAGAAGGAATTTCCGTGTTATGTCTTTGCGAGGAAACTCATGGTGCGTATAATTCAGAGTTTATGTGTTATTTTGAGGAAAGTGCTCACCTATGTTGTCGACGCCTAGAGAGTTGGCTTTATTCTCCTTTCCCTTTTCCGTCTTCATGCAAGTATCTCCGAGACTCTTCCACCATTTGTCATACAGGATCTGAATTTCACCTTTCTCTTGCAATTCCAGAATTGCTAGAGATATCTTGTCCCGCCAAGGTGAACCTGCGAAATTTTTTGAAAATTTTGATCGCTTGAATAAAAAGTTTACATGAATTTATTTATTTTTAAATAAAATTTATATTGTTTTATTACATGGTTATATGATATAAATATAAATAAATTAACTTTATTCTCTTTTTTTATTAAGTATTATGTAAATATTGAGAAAAATCAATCTGAAAATTGAAATAGATATGTAAATATCAGATAAAAACCATTTTGGATTATCAAAAATTGTATATTGTTTATTTAAAAAAGATATCGATATTTCTTTTTAAAGTATCAATGTTTCTCGATATGTATCGATGTTTTTCGATTGTTATAAATTGGAACATTAAAAAAAATATGTGAGAACTTAAAATGGATATGATATTGATTGATGCAATTGTGCATACCCATGGGCGTAGCGATTCCATATCCCTTAGTGTCTAATAGACCGCCAATTTGCGTAAGATTGCAGTCCCTCTGGACAATGTAATCCAACATGGTCGATTCCATCAGAAAGGCATAATCGCCTTGAAGAACCCGTTGGATACCTTCTTCATAAGTGGGAACGAATACCGATGGTTTCTTGTTTTCCATAAATCGCCACATTTTTTTATATGTCTCGATCATTGAGTCCTTAATCGAAATTTGAGAGAATTAAATTTCATTATTATCAATATTGTAAATTCAATATCGCGATAATCGTTATCGTTTAACATTATGCATTATAGATTTTGTATATTAATAAATATTATTTTATTAATTAAACGGAAAAGTTTGCAAAAGATGCAATGTGATAAAAACTTTCATTCTCATGTGAGCGAAAGTGATTATCATAATAATTGCAAAATAATTATTTTCATATTGATCGCGTGGCCATATCGCGCGCGATCATTATCTAATTATTAATAGACCATAAATTTGACATGAACTCGTAATTACAGATACATTAACATAATATGAGTTTAGATTTATTTATGTGCTAAACAAACTACAATTCTCACGTCATTAAAAAATATATATCTTTTCAATATTTTTATTATATTGTATTATATTTTTGTTAATATTATTATTTATGAAAGAGAAAGTTTATTTTTGTATATCGTAGCTCTAAAGTCAGTTTTAAATTTCCTGATTATACAGAATAACATTACAAAGATATTATGGTATAATATCTTTGTAATGTTATTCCTTCTCTCTCTTTTTTATTTTTTATTACATTTATTCCAAGCAGATATCAAAGTACTACTCACTCTGAAGAAAGTCATCGTACTACCGCTATCGAGAGTTCCATATGCGATGTCCGTCTGACTAGCGAGATCTTCAGCGTTCTCTATCGGCGTGATCATTCTTTCCACCGTGAGGAAAGCCGCTAGATTTGCAGTGTACGACGAAATGATGATCAGAGTAAAGAACCACCATATGCCACCCACGATACGCGTGCTCGTAGCCTGATGAAGAGATCACTTTATCGAAACTTGCTGCATCGGTTTATTAATTAAGCTTCATTTATCACTATAAGCTTTGTATTGATTATCAAGCGATGATAAAAACTAATAATCGTAAAACTAATTAATAAAGATTTCAATTGTCAATTATAATACTGCGACATCAGTCTCGGGAGACTGTAGTCTCTCAGTAATAACACCCTCAAATTGCAGGAACGTTAATTCCTCATTACGCTGAAAATACTCCGATATTTCTTCCTACGTTCTTACTATACTCTTCAAACATTCCAGGGATTAACGTATTTCATTTCGTTGAATGGGAGATTCTCAGTATTTGAAAACTAATTCAAAAGCTAAAGTTTGCAAATGAAAGCTGAAGATTTCGTGAGAACAGGAACGTCTGTAAGAACTTCCTGAGAAAATTACTAAGCATTATATCGCGCAGGTATTTGATAATAAAACACATCAAATAGATAATCACATTAAATAGAGGCAATACACATAATTAGAATAGCAATTTAGTTATTTGGTAATTATCGTTAAATAAATATACACAACGTTTGTAATACTACGAGAATGGTTGTAATGAGGCAACATAAACATTTTAAGATTGCATTGTTTCGACCATTAACATTCTATCTAATCGCAGCTCTATACAACAATATAACCCACGATAATCTATTTATGCTTAAAACAAGAGTCTACTATTATTGGACGAATCATTATGTTTGCAATCACATGTAGATGAGTGATACTAATGGAATTGTTTATAAAGTTAATTATGATAATGACTAATGTAATATGCATACATATAATATCTTTATAATTTAGTTTCACATAATGTAATGCCAAGATATTCATGTAATTTCGCGTAATATATATATTTGCGTCATGTTAATGCCTATCAAAGCAGAGACTCGTCAGACAAGTCGAAGGCAAACCTTGGGATTTAAATCGCTGCCCTGCTGCATGAGGGTTCCGATGGTGAACCAGAAGCTATTCGATAAAGAGAACTGGTTCTCGACAATTTCTGGCCCGGCGTGACACGGATGGGGATTGTTCCATTCGTAGGGGCTAAATCGCGCCACGACAAACATCGTCACTGACACTAGAACATACGCTGCCAGAACGTACAGCCAGATCTCAATCGCTAATGGATTCATGAAGGAAAACAGTCGTGCCTGATGGCTGGTCGGTACCTGCAAGAAATTTGAACTTTCGACATTTTTTTTATTTGATAGGCATACGTGTTATATTAAAAATTGGTTATACGACACTTAAATTTCTATTTAAAAAGAATTAATTTCTTACATATTTACATAAACTATTTTTCCACATATTGTATAAAAAATATTCACTGTATAAAAAAATGTATTCAATTGCATCGCGTGTGAATATCGAAATATATATAATCATGTCAAAATTAAATAATCGTGTTAATGATTAAATAATAAAATTTAAAGCTGAAAATTTTCACGCTCAGTTCGTTTTAATACTCGATATTTTATTGATATTTTATTTTAATGATCGCATGCTTTTCCCAATATTATGCATAAAAGAAAGTAAATTATGTAATATTAAGCTTTATTAATTCTGCATAATATTGAAGTGATATGTAATGATGAAGGAATTTTGCACACGTAATTTAACAATTCTTAATTAGCTATCTTAATTAACGTTGAACGTATGGTAATATCGTAAAATCGATTATTTTGCTTAATATAATATCTGGAATTTGCTTTAGCCGCATCGAGATTATTATGCAATTTTAACTGAGATTTTTATAATTAAATTTGTGCATTTAATCGTTCGAAATAGTTTGAGGAAATATATTTCATTATAGACAATGTATATCGTTAAAACTTTTTCTATTTTCACTATGCATTGAAAGTTGGTATAAAATTAATATATCAATAAATCAAACAAGTTATTAAATTTACATCGTTAATATTACAAATTTAGAAAAAAGTAAAATACATATACGTAATACATCAGAGAATACAAAGCAAATGCATAAAAAGTAGATCAATTTTTAAATTATGAATTAATGTCTACTGTCTGTTCAATATATTCATATTCGTAGATGTCAATTTCAAATAATTTTTTACGATATATCGATAATTACTAAATGCCTGGTGTTGAATTCATCATTTTCTACCAATAATCTTTGCGCAAGTGGAATTCGTGCAATCTCTCCTGCCGCGCACCAGGAGGATTATTTGTATATTTGCCAGGGGCGTTGGAGGATGTCACCGCTGCAATCCGACTTGCATCCATCGAGAGAATAGGACCATTATCTCTCTGGAGTATCGGTCGGTCGTGGGAATTCAAGAGAATATATACATGTATATATATATATATATATGTGTGTGTGTATATATATATATATATATATACTATATATATATATATATATATATATATATATATTGTGATATATGTATATATGTGTGTATCATTGTATTGTTGACGTGTTATTCTAAACACGTTATTTGCGATAAATATCATCACGTGTAGTCGAAAGGATAAGATGCTTGCGCGGTAAGCAGGAGCTCCACGTTTAATTTCTGGCTGAGGTGATATTTTTCGCAAAATAATTACGAATTTTCACGACTGGTTCGTGGTCGGGCCCCGCCGTGACGCACACCCTCCTTTCTTATGTAAAATTTAACGCTCTTAATAGTACAGATATTGATTCCAAAGGAATTCTAAAAATTTAATTGCAATTAATTCCAAAGGAATTCTAAAAGAAAAAACGAACCAATATAATTATTATAAAACGATGACAAAAAAATAACGAGACCGTTATAAGTGTATTAATATCCGTATATTCGAAGACCTCATAATTATTGATTAATTGATTGATTCAAAACATTTTGATATTTGATAATTCGGATTGTAAATAGCGGGCATGTAAAATATCGATGAGTAGGTGACGGGATGATTAAAGGAAGCAGCTTTGGGAATAGGAACAGCTACCGGCTGCAACATTAATTGCAATTAAATGATCGCCTTACATTAATTAGAAAGCGCGCTCGCACCAATCGACGATTGGTGCAATCAGCGAAAAGAGACTGTTCGCTTTCTCCCTCTTGTATTTGCCGGAGGAGAATCCCGCTTGAGCGGAAATGAGTCTTCAATTCGCATTGGAAGGCAAGCTATCATCGTCAGCGTGGCGAGAGAGTCTTCGTTTTAATTAATTTATAAGAGGTCCACTTATTGGGTTTTTCACGCCTCGCCATTTTGGTGAAAATATAATTGTATAGCGAGTTATTCCGCAAGAAATGAATAATTCGTTGACATTACACTTAATAATAATTAAGCATACAATTAATTTATTGTCTTGTCGTCGTGTATCACAATTGATTTTATCTGCTATTAATATTGATCTCTCGACAAAGTACTCGAGTAGAGATTTTCTAAGGATTCTGTCAAGTGTAATACGTAGTCTATAATTAATCCTGCAGTGAATTGCGATGAAAGATTACCACGTCACTGCCGCTTGACTGCATAACAGTGATTCGCTTAATTATCTTCATTAAGCAGTTGGCTTATGTCATCGCGAACTGAGGCGAACAATTTCATTCCAAGTTTGAGCATTGGCATTATGGAAGATTCTCAAGATAATGTAATACAATTGGCTCTGTGTATTATAATTGTTCCGTGTAAAGTTGAAAGAGTTAATGTAGAAAGAAATGCATAATGTAAAAATTTAGAAAGAAATTTGAGAACAAATTTCTTCAAAAATCATCAAAATTTTCAAGATTTTGTGTAAAAAATCAATAAACATATATGTACACACACACACACACACACACACACACACACACACACACACACACACACACATAGT